TAATACCCCCCTCCTTCACATAAAGTTAATACACCCCTTGACATAAAATCCATACCTCCCCTCCTTCACATAAAGTTAATACCCCCCTCCTTCACATAAAATCCATACCCCCCTCCTTCACATAAAGTTAATACCCCCCTCCTTCACATAAAGTTAATACACACCTTGACATAAAATCCATACCCCCCCTCCTTCACATAAAGCTGCGCATCTCAACATTCCTCCTCCTCCTGCTCCTCCACATTACTGCCCGCACTTTAAGGATGTATGAGGGGTGACTCATGACACAGACAATAATGGCACTCCCTTAGTGAGTGGAACCCCCCTCCCCCCCCCCACACACACCCTGTCCCTTAGTACGCCACTGTCTATAATATATTTTTAACAGGAAATGGAGAATAACATGCAAAATATAAATTAACATAAAGTATATAAGTAATAGGTGATTTTCTGAATGGTATAATTTCCAGAGAAGTAATAGTCTCAATTTAACAGTTTGTTATTCTGAGCAAGGCGTGTTTTTACATCATCTGTAGGCACAGACTTCTAAAGCTCCCCCAACCCTTTCTTTCCCATTCTTCAAAAAAAAAAAAAAAACATGAAAAAAATATGCTTGTTTTAATATAATAAAATAGGTTGTGTACCCACACACTCCACTAAGGCACTATTATAAGACATAGAAGTTGATTTTACCCCATGTGAAATATGAAAGTTTGTCCTTTGGGGCTATTGTAGTAGTTTCTGTAATACTTAAGGTGTAGGTATAGCACTACTGGACAGTAGGTAAACAGAGCAATTTTTTATTCAGCTCCCCCCAAAAATTCAAGAACCAAACTTAAAGGGAAACTATAATGCCAGGAAAATAAAATGTCAAGACCCCCTCCCCCCCCTTTTCCCCATGGCGCAGAAGGGGCTAAAAAACACTTCTGTCACTTACATGTCTCAAGTGCATATGTCTCTCGGCACTGGCTCGGCTTCACCTCCACTCCTACCCCGATGGCTTGGTAGAACTAATGCACATAAGCAGCAATGGCCGCACTCGCATTAATACTCCCCCCATAGGAGTGCATTATATAATGTTTTCCTATGGAGTTTTGGGTGACGCTGGATGCATAGCATGAGGACGTCCCGTGTCAGACGACTAAAAATCCCCCAACAACCAAGAAGTCTCTTTAGTAGCTGTCAGGTAGACAGCCACTAAAGGCAGAGTTAACCCACAATGATAATTATTGCAGTTTATTAAAAACTGCAATAATTACCTTTGAAGGGTTAAGGGACCTGGGAATATGCACCCAGACCACTTTAATGAGCTGAAGTTGTCTGGGTGCCTATAGTGACCCTTTAAAATAGCCACTGACCATAGAGTTCCCCCACAAACAGTCACAGAGTACCCTTTCTTAAAGTATCACAATGGTGCCATAAAACAAATCTGTCTCCGTACTTGGCATGAACTTCTCCAGTTTAAGTTAGATGACAGTCCCTCCCTCGCTCTGCTTCAAGGGACATGACTGTAGCTCACTAATGAAGCCTAGATGAAAATGTATATGTCACAGGTCTCAGTCTTCCTTGGTAAATGAAGCTCACTCGTCATTGTCTGCCTGCCTACCTGCATGCATATCCTTATATTAATAAATATTCTTAACTACAAACTTGTAGCAACATGCTTTGCAGCTGCATAGATTACAGTACAGATATCAACTGACTGAAAAAACCCTCTAAAGTTCAGCTCACTGTTTACACTGTTTAACCCCTTAAGGACCAAACTTCTGGAATAAAAGGGAATCATGACATGTCACACATGTCATATGTCCTTAAGGGGTTAAGTGAATAAACTCCTACGTTTGGTGCTCATGATCAGGCCCGGACTGGCCATCGGGCATAGCGGGCAAATGCCCAGTGGGCCGCGATGGCCGTGGGGCCGAGGCCGGCAGGGGATCTCCCCGGCCGGCCCCTGCAGGGCCAGCACTATCCGAGCGCCGGCCCTGCTGTGTGCCTCCATGGGCCGGTGGGGAGATCTTTGATCTCCCTCACCGGCCCAGAGGCAGTGTTACAGGCGGCTGCCGGCTGGGGAGGGAGGCAGGACCCGCTCAGATCTCGCGAGAGTGAACTCTAACCTGCAGGTTAGAGTTCACTCTCACCACTGGACCACCAGGGAAGGCAGCATGGCTCCCCACCCCCCAGGGAGAACTGATCTTCTCCCTCCCCCCCCTCCCAGGATAAAGGTAAGAAGGGAGGGGGGGAAATTATTATTTATTTTTTTTTATTAGTAAAAAATATATATTTAAATTTAAATAAAAAATACATTCACACACACAGCACCCCACAGACACACACAGCACCCCCAGACACACACAGCACCCCCAGACACACACAGCACCCCACAGACACACACAGCGCACCCAGACACACACAGCGCACCCAGACACACACAGCGCACCCCCAGACACACACAGCGCACCCAGACACACACAGCGCACCCAGACACACACAGCGCACCCAGACACACACTGCACCCA